CATCCTTCCATCCATCCATCCATTATCTTTACCCGCTTATTCCATTTTGGGTCACGGGGGTCGCTGGTGCCCATGTCCAGCAATCACTGTGCGAGGGGCGGGGGACACCCTGGACAGGTCTCCAGTCCATCACAGGGACACATAGAGACAAACGAGACAAACAACCATTCACTCTCTCACTCACACCTAGGGACAGTTTAGAGTTACCATCAGTCTAACATGCATGTTTTTGGTCTGTGAGAGGAAACTGGAGTACCCGGAGAAAACCCACGCATGCCCGGAGAGAACATGCAAACTCCACCCAGAAAGGCCCCTGGACCGGGGTTTGAACCAGGGACCTGCTCGCTGAGAGGCAGCAGCTCTACCAGTTGCGCCACCGTGCTGCCCAATTTCAAGTTCAGTTTATTGTCATTCACATCACATGTGGTACATGAGGTGGAACGAAATGATGTACCAGTACTCGGGGTCCCAGTTACAGCCAACAGTAGTAATGCCCACACCTGCATTAGATGAGAGTAATGACAGAAGAGAGGAGTGAGTAAAATGTAGATCACAATTTATATTGTCATTATAAACTCAAATTCCACATTGTATTTCATGACAAAGTTTACCGTGCAGCTTTAATCCTGGACTGTTCGGTGCATTTCTACCCTGTCATGTAAATTTGTGTGATTTTACTTTGACCTCGCAGCTTTCTTGGTGTTTATTTGTCTTTTTTTCCGTTTCTCTAGTTTGTTCCCAGTTCTCTCGAGGCGTCTATGCCATTTTTGGCTTCTATGACAAGAAGTCGGTCAACACCATCACTTCCTTCTGTGAGACGCTCCACGTGTCCTTCATCACTCCTTCTTTTCCAGTGGAGGGAACCAATCAGTTTGTTCTTCAAATGAGGCCAGACATCAAGGGTCCACTGGTTTCATTAGTGGAGTACTACAAGTGGGAACGGTTTGCCTATCTGTACGACAGCGACAGAGGTAAACTGCTTTACTTTGTTTTTTACCACTTTGTTTCTGAATGCCACCATTTATTCAGGTTTTATTCAATTACAGGAAACTGTGCAACATTTACCATAATTGCTAACGTATAGGCCTCCACTTTTTTCTCACGCTTTGGAGTCCACGACGTGTACCCAGGAGCAGCTATTTATTTTATTGTAATAGTTTGTTAATATTTTATTATGACAGGCTGCCAAGTTTCATGTCACCATACAACATTTTCCCTTGACACTCCTGGGCGCTCATATAGCTGCCCAACACCCATCCCTCTTGGGGGCGGGATTTTTGTTTTTCAGTTCAACATTTATTTGTCCAGGTTAGTCTCACTGAGCCTCGAGGACTCACAAGAGACCTGATTTAAACAAAGAACACAGATCAGGTACACATAACAGAAGACAATCATATGAAAGCATCAAATGAAATGAATAGAAGAAATGATATAAAAACTAAACAAATGCATCCCTGAGGGACTCCTCCAGAGCCTGTCTTGTCCTGCAGCAGCAGCACCTGACTCTCCTCCTCTGTCCGCCTCATCACTGCCTCGTATTCTGTGTTGTGATTTAACCAGAAGTGTTTTACAAGGTTTGTTGTGTTGCTACAGCTCTTTACTGATTTTCCACAAACCGCTTCTTGGCTGTTTTTGGAGCTGAAAAAGCTCCTCATATGACTCCGTTTACGCTCCGCTGTTGACTGAGAGACTGACTGACGAGCAGCGTGCCGCTCTGCTTACACACACACATTCACCCAGGCGGAAGAAAAAATAGTTCCCACAAAAAAGCGTATCATTTAGACAAGAGCTCAGTAGTTTAGTTACTTTCTACCATCTTCCTGTAAATGATATGCATTACCTGAAATGACGGAAGTATCAAAACTATCGATAGATTGATTTAAACATTGATTCTAGAGCGCAACATTTTGATACACACACACACACATATATATCTATATATATATATATATATATATATATATA